GAGAACTGGACGGTGTCTCCCTGGCGCAACAAAGCGAGCAAGGATGCTGAGAGGGAAGGCGAGGTCCGGGCGAGTACAAGTCATCAGGTACATGAGGCAGCCCACAGGCTTTGCGTAGGGACCACTAGGCTCAAACGGCTCGTCAGGAAAGGGTCCAGTGAGTCTGTGGTCAACAGCAAGAGGTGTGCGCTGTACTGTGGAGTGCTGAAGCTCGAACTGCTGAAGGACCTGCTGCACCATGTGTGACTGTGAGAGTGTAATGGTGCGAGCGGCTCTGTCCCTGGTGATCTGCAGGCCAAGGTAGTGGCGCAGCTCACCAAGGTCAGTGCACGTGTGTCTCTTCTACAGTTCGCGCTTCACGTCAGCCAAAGCAACCCTGTCAGCAGTGGCGAAAACCAGGTCGTAGACGTAGACCAGTACAAAGAACGGTGTGGAGCCACGACGAACAAACAGCGACGAGTCGGCAGAAGACGGCTGGAAACCGAGGTCAGACAGGGTAGAACGAAGGGTGTCGTGCCACTCACGAGGAGCTTGACGGAGACCGTAGACTGGTCGCCTCAGCCTCCACTGGGTCCGAGGAGGGAAAGTGCCAGTGAAGGCAGAGGGACGACGCAACCAGACCTCCTCGTGTAGGCTACCCTGAAGGAAGGTAGTGGAGAAGTCGAGAGAGTGTAGCTCGTAGTCTCTCTGTGCTGCTACGTGTAGTAACACCCGAAGAGTGGTCATCTTCGGGGTAGGCGCGAAGGTCTGAAAGAAGTCAACTCCCTCGCGCTGACTGAAACCTCTAGCCACATAGCGCGCCTTGAAGACCGAAGGAGATCCCGGTGGCCACTTCACCCTGAAGATCCACATGCCATCGACTACGTTCGCCCCAGGGGGGGGGACCTCGTCAACGTAGGTGCCTGTGGATCTTTAGGAGGCCATCTCTGAGTCCATGGCAGCTCTCCACTGAGAGGCCCAAGGCCTCAGCGTAAGTGCGAGGAGTAGGTATGTCAAGGGCGTCGGGGTCTTCCTCAGGGGCGAGCAGCATGGCACAGAGATGAGAGGAAGCGGCTGCCAGGAACTCCAGCTCAAATTGCCTGTCCTCTAGGGCGTCACAGCCAAGGGCAGACTCACCCCCGACGGCCACGAGACAAGTGGCGTAGTCAAGGCGGCGAGTAGTGGGGAACTCAGTGACGGCGGCAGTAAGGGCGGAGACAGAGGACAGAGAGACACGAGGGTCTGTAACAAGATAGGCGAGAACACGAGAGAGAACAGGTCGGTACGTGCGGTAGTAGTCAGTGACAGGGGTAGAGAGGGAAGCAGTGAGGGCCGACGCAGGAGGAGAAGGAAGCACATACGGAGACGAATGAGGCGGACTAGGACGGAGCAGGACAGTACGAAGGTCAGTGAGAGGGACAGGGGATGAGGGACGAGCACGAGGAGAACGAGAAGTCCAAGCGTGAGAAAGAGGAGGGGACAACGGAGGCTGAGAACGGGGGAAAACAGCTGGGGTGGGGTCAGGAGGAGGAAACGTGGGACCGTAGACAGGAGGAGAGGGAGAGGGGGGAGGAGAGGGAGAGGGGAGACCGAGGGCCCGAAGGCCAGAGACAGGAGGCGGAGGTGGCGGCTGCTCCTGCTGCGGTGGCTGCTGCTGCTGCTCCTGCTGCGGCGGCTGCTGCTGCTGCTCCTGCTGCTCCTGCTGCGGCGGCTGCGGCTCCTCCAGCTGCGGCTGCTGCTGCTCCAACTGCTCCTGCAGCTGCGGCTGCTCCGCCTGCTGCTGTAGCTCCAGCTGCTGCCGCTCCAACTCTCGCCCCTCACGTGCAAGGCGAAGCCGGGCCTGGTGCCGGGTCGGGTAGGGGTGGGGGGGAGGAGTAGTGTCCGGGGCGGTGGTAGCCCCAGGACCGCTCTCCAAAGCACCAGTCGCACCACCCCCAGAGCCAGTACCACCCTCCCCTTCACCGGTTCTTTGACTCCCACGACGTTCGTTTTGTCGAGTCAGTCCCCTACTACACCCGGTACCCCTGTCGAGGTCTCCCGGTTCCTCCTCCCCCTCTCTTCCTGACTCCCGCTCCCCCTCCTGCCCCTCCGGTACAGCCCCCCCCCCCCCCCCCTGGTCCAGCCTCGTCAGGTGTGTCACACGCTACCCCCCCCCCCTCGGTAGCCCCTCAGGTGCCGTCCCTTCAGGTGCCGTCAGGTGCTCTGATACCATGTCAAGAACTGAATTGTGATGTCACTAAGGTTGGTTGGGGTACATAAACCTAACCCTAACTGTTGTACCCCATATGACACACATCACTAAGACTATAACATTTGACACACTTCTAGTGATCTACAGACGAAAGAGAAAAGCAATCCAGAAAGGCTGGCAGCAACGCATGTGATCGTGCTGTGAGTAGGATGCTCGGGGAACGCCCACCTCAACACTTCTGCCCGTTATTCGTCTGTTGCTCCATCACGTTGCTGTGATGCGCCCGCTACTACTGCTGCTGCTGCACGTATCAGGAGTATGTGAGGGGGAGAGGGCAGGAGGGACAGAGAATTGAGGGTGCAGGGGCAAAAGCGGGCAGGACGGAGGAGTTGTCAAAATATGTTCTACATATTTATATAATTGTGTGTAGGTGTGTAGTATAGATACCCCATCTTGTCTGTGGTGCACCACTTCTTACCTTGTTTCTTGTATAACTTGGGCCTTTGGCCCTTTAGTCAAACCTCCTTCTTGGCACAACTCTCTCTCGTTCCTCCTTGGCCTAGGCTACTAAGCCTAGGCCCTACCAAAACCCTAACTCCTACTTATGCTACTATTCTGACATGCTATCAGAGCGGTTCCTCCTCGGACCGGTTTTTAGGATAATGGGCCCACCGTTAGCTTCCGCTATGGCGCACCCTGTCGCGCCGCCCGTCACGCTGCCCGTCGCGCGCCCGCCGCGCGCGTCGTTTTCTGCCCGTCGCGCGCCCGCTGCGCGCGTCGGTTCCTGCCCGTCGTGCGCCCCGAGCGCGCGGCGGTTTCTGCCCGTCGTGCGTCCCGAGCGCGCGGCGGTTTCTGCCCGTCGTGCGCCCCGAGCGCACGGCGGTTTCTGCCCGTCGTGCGCCCCGAGCGCGCGGCGGTTTCTGCCCGTCGTGCGCCCCGAGCGCGCGGCGGTTTCTGCCCGTCGTGCGCCCCGAGCGCGCGGCGGTTTCTGCCCGTCGTGCGCCCCGAGCGCGCGTCGGTTTCTGCCAGCAGCGCGCCCAGCGCGCCCTGTTGTCCTGCGCGCCCCGCGCGCCCAGCTTCCCTGCAGCCCGCGTCGCCTGCTGCCCGCGCGCCCTGCAGCCCGCGTCGCCTGCTGACCCCGCGCGCCCTGCTGCCCTGCGCGCACCGCGCGCCCTGCTGCACTGCGCGACCCGCGCGCCCTGCTGCCCTGCGTGCCCCGCGCGCCCTGCTGCCCTGCTGCCCCCGCGCGCCCTGCTGCCCTGCGCGCCCCGCGCGCCCTGCTGCCTTGCGCGCCCTGCTGCCCTGCGCGCCCCGCGCTCCCTGCTGCCCTGCGCGCTCCGCGCACCCTGCTGCCCTGCGCGCCCCGCGCGCCCTGTTGCGATGCGTGGCGACTGCGGTGTGCGCGGATGCTCCCCTCTGCACGCGCATCTGCAGCTGCATGCGCAGCCCCTACCCCGCCCCCCCCCCTTCTCCTCCCTCTCCCTACTGCACGTGCAGCAGGTGTGGGGGGGGGGGGGGGGGGGGGGGGGGTGAGGGGGAGGTTGCACCTACAGCGCCCGCCTGCCTCCTCTCTCTCACGGCCGCACATGCTGCTGTGGGGGGGAGTGTGAAGTGGTGGGCAGGTTCAAGGGGTGTGGGTGGTGGGTGACTCAACTGCAGCAACTGCCGCCACGCCTCCTCCTCTCTCTCCTCACTGCCGCTGCTGCTGCTGTGGGGGGGAGGTTGAGGGGGTGGTGTGAGTCCAGCCGCAGCATCAGCCGCCGCCTCCTCACTTGCCCTCTGCTACTTCCGCTGCACTCTACATGGTGTACCCCGTAAGGGGGCGTTACTTCACTTGTACCTGCAAACAATTATGGGGGCGTGTCAAAATATGTTCTACATATTTATATAATTGTGTGTAGGTGTGTAGTGTAGATACCCCATCTTGTCTGTGGTGCACCACTTCTTGCCTTGTTTCTTGTATAACTTGGGCCTTTGGCCCTTTAGTCAAACCTCCTTCTTGGCACAACTCTCTCTCGTTCCTCCTTGGCCTAGGCTACTAAGCCTAGGCCCTACCAAAACCCTAACTCCTACTTATGCTACTATTCTGACATGTGAGGCTCATTATTACACTTTTGATGGGGTAGGTTATAATAAAAACCGTACAAAAATATTCGCAACACCTCGCCTCCTTTGTTTTGTTCCTCCGCTCACCAGTCACGAGTCACGCACGAGTCACGAAACCCTCTTCGATCATTTTTGTTTTATAATTTCTACTCTGGTTGATGAGCTGGTAGTACGTGTGCTGTTGAGGGACACTAGTTGTATGTTGTTCCATGTCTGACCTCTCCCTTAAGGTAATAGATAAATGCTGCTTGAGTTCAACGAGTAGGTGTGCAGGGTTTCGTCATTTCTTCCACTGTACGTACTTTGACGTCCTCAACCAGGCACTTTGACCTAATGGGGTGATTAACATACAGGTTTCAAATGCGTTATTTCATATGAGTTTCATTGATTAATGAAAGGTGAGTACGCGTTAAAGCATGCGTCTCATACATTTTCCTTCCCAACCAGGAGTAATACCCTTGAAACCAGTTAACCACTCAACTTATCGCAACTTTGTTGGGTTTGGTTGGGAGCACATGCGATTGGCTGCAGCACCAACAAGGTGGGGAAGGCAGATGCACGACTACCTAACTGCATTCGTGCTAAACACACCACCTTGTGCGACGAAGGTAGAGAACAAACGGAACCAAGCGTAACACCACAGCAAAAAAACATGAGACACTAGATCAACTGCATGCCAGCACTGGACTCTTCTCAACAGCTTAGTTTAGGCTAGGTTTTGTTCATGGATGTTCAATCATATAGTGTTCCGTTTGATGCAGATCTGCGTACGTACAGACGGGACATGGTAGTGGTCGATCGTACAGAGTAACGAGGGGAGGAAAGGGACTGGAAGGGACGGGACTGGCGTGGAACAGGTAGCTGCAGCTGGGACCAAGCGCGGCGGGAAGGAAAAGTGAGCGGCGGGAAGGAACGCGAACTGACGGGAAGGGTTGGGAAAGGATGAGATGGTAAGGCAAGCGCCAAGACAGGACGGGAAGCGCTGCGATGGCACAAGAAGCAACGGAACTGGACAGGAAGAGACGGAACAAGAAGGGACGGGACGGGACCAGATGGAAAGGTGGGGAAAGTGACGGGAGGAGACGCGGCAGGTGAACGGGTGTGAACAAGTTCTGTTCTAGTGGTGCGGTAGATGCTGCTGCTGCACATCCGCCCCCATCCCCCTCCCCTTCCCCCATCACCCTTTCCTTTTCTCCACCCCCCTTTCCCTTTCCCCCATACCTCTTTCCCTTCCACTCGTCCCCCTTCCCTTCCCCTATCTCCCTCTCCCTTCCCCCATACCTCTCTCCCTTCTTCGCACCCCCCTTCCCCTCCCCCATCTCCCTTCCCGTTCCCCACATCATATCCTTTTTTCCCTTCCCCCCATCCCCCTTTCCCATCAACCTTCCCCGCGATAATGAATTAAGGAAAGTACATTCCTGTACGTAACATGAGCCAAGGGGTACCGAGTATGAAGCCGAGGAGTCAGGCGAGTCGAAGCGACGAAAGCAGTTGTCATATGAAGACCGACGCAGGCAGAAGCATTTGAATGGTAAAAGGCGGGAACAGGGTTGAAACGGGATTCTGCGCCGCACGGTTGGATTCCGATGTAATAAGGGAATGTACCCCATATAGTACATGGCTAGCTAGGTCGTTTTGCATTCCCTTGTATTCTTGTGTAAACCTATGTATGGTCTTTGTCATAGTCACTTCAGTCATTCTACGTTCACTCTGACTAGGAGTCAATCATTTTCGTTGTAATCTCAATATGTGATCAACTCTGAGACGACCCTGGCAAAGTCCCCGTGGGATTGTAACAAACGGATGTGAACGGGTTCTGTCTCAGTGGTGCGGCAGATGCTGCTGCTGCACATCCTCCCCCATCCCCCTCCCTTTCCTCCAACCCCCGTCCCCTTTCTCCATCCCCCTTTCCCTTTCCCCCATACATCCTTCCTTTCTACGCATCCCCCTTCCCTTCCCCTATCTCCCTCTCCCTTTCTTCATACCTCTCTCCCTTCTCCGCATCCTTCTTCCATTCCCCCATCTCCCTTCCCCTTCCCTACATCGTATCCCCTTTTCTATTTCCCCCCATCCCCCTTTCCCATCCCCTTTTCCCATCAACCTTCCCCATTCTCTGCATCCCCCTTTCCCTTCACCCATCCCCACTTCCCTTCCCCCATCCCTTTTTTCCTTCCCCGCATCCCCATTTCCCTTCCCCCATCCGCTTTCCCTTCTCTGAGCCTCCCTCCCTTCTTCCCGCGATAGGATGCACGGGAAGGAGCGAGAAGGGACGGACGAGACAGAAAGGGACAAGACAAGACATGTCAAACTCCTGTCAAATAGTAGTTAGGACTTAGGCACTAGGGTTTGGGGTAGGACGAGAGTGACAACGGATCACCCCAGGAAGGTTCGCAGATAGTGTGTGGCAACGGAGGTATTGACCTCGGGTCAGAGTGAATTTAAAATGACTGAGATGATTGGAACTGTTACGATATGAAGTCTTATGAGAAGGCATTCCTGTATGCTGCAGGAGCCGACTCTACCGAGTACGAAGTCGAGGAGTCAGAAGAGTCGAAGCGACGCAGCAACCGTCTGACCAAGACCAGTGCAGGCAGAAACATTTGTGAAGTGAAAAAGGCGGGAACAGGTTTGAAACGGGTTCCCGCGTCGCACGGTTTGAATTCGGTTGTAATAAGGGAATGTACCCCTTAGAGTACATGGCTAGTCTAGGTCTTTTCGTATCCCCCTGTATTTTTATATAAACTCGATGTATGCATGCTATTATCAACTCAGTCATTTACATTCACTCTGACCTGAGATTCAAACTTCCGCTGCAACACAACTCTGCGATCAACCCTGAGCGATCCTTCGCTAAGTCCCTTTTGGGATTGTAACATGGTATGCGAGCTACTCATGGATTCTTCGCAACTTCACTTCCGTGAAATTCGCCAAACCAAGATCTGGCGAGCGGCACACGCTCCAAGACCAAGATGGCCGGAGGATCCGGAGGCCAAGCAAATCTGACGGCCAATCCGGCTGCGACAAATGAGGCGACAACCACGATCGGCAGTGCCGCCCTCGAGCAACTTTTCGCTCGACTTTCAACTATGGAGAAAGAACTCCAAGACCTGCGCAAAGGCGATGCGGGAACCTCTTCCCAACCAGCACAACCTGGACAACCGGCTGAGAAAAGCCGCGATACCGCCGCGCATACCTTCTCCCTCGACACAGACAAATCAACAACCACTGCCCCCCGTCCAAATGATGAAGCTATCAACTCTGCGCAAACTCGCTTTCTTAGCGTTTCAAAAATCAAAACTACTGCCGCGTTTGACGGCAAGGATTTCTACACATGGAGTTTCGAGCTTGAGCTCCTCCTGCAAACGGCGCAGATCTACCATTACTTCGACGGCTCCTATCCTAAACCGGTGGAAAACACCGAAGTCGCCAGGGCTCAATACTACAGTGAGTCCCTCATGGCCTACAGTGTGCTGCTACGCAACATGACGCCTGCGGAACAACTCAACATTCGCTCCTACAAAGAGAGCGACGCTCCAGCCTTGGAAGCCTGGAAGCATCTCGTTGAAGTTTATCAGCCGAAGGATTCGGTCACCGCCAGCAGGCTTCTGCAGCAACTCCTGGAGATAAAAATGGGGCACGGGGAGAAAGCGAATCCTTATATCAACCGCTGTCGTAACATCCGTGATCAGATCACGAAGCATGGGAGTACGATCTCAGAAGAGATCTTCGTCAACATAGTCCTCCAAGGACTCGGGCCTGAGTGGAAGCCCTGCAAGGCGTTACTCCGACAGCGAGGGACAATCTCAGAAGCCGCGCTATGCGCCACACTCCTGTCCGAACAACAGGACATGGACTCGAGCAGAACAAGCTCCGCGCCGCGCCGAGAGCGCCTCGCCTTCTACGCAGACAACCGTGAAGAGCGACGACAACCAAGGCGCCATTATTGCAAAATATGCAAAGTCTTCGGACACTCAACGGATCGATGCAAGTCCCGATCCAACTATCGCCACCCAAATTCCACTCACCACAACAACTGGGTCGGCCGACAAGATGCTCGTCATCCCCAGTCTCAGCAAACTCCTCGTCCTCCTGCGCAACACCAACATCAGCAAGGACGTCAAGAACCTTCATCAGGAGCCCCCAGAAACATCATCGCGAACATGACGACGCGCCGACGTCGCTCTGATGAACCTGACGAAGAAGACGAGATTCAAGGACGACTCCTTGAACCAGAAGAGGGATGGAATAACCCTCTCACTGAGAATTACTACTACCAGTATGACGAAGACGAGCAGGATTGGAACCTGCCAATCACTTTGCGGGAAAGCCCGCCGCACGACAATCAACACTACGTACCGGTGGGATGGAAGGAGGATGAAGACCCTCTCTTCTACAGTCGCTACAAGGCAACCCTGGTGACTCCGCGATTGGCGCTACTTCTGCGCCGGAGCAACACCGACAACTAAAACACCTGGTACCTGGACAGCTGCTGCGGACAGCACATGGTGGGATCTACGCGCTACGTCTCAAATCTGAGCCGCGCCCCCCCAACTTACGGTACTGTCGCCAACAACGAGGAGCTGCGCGCCAACTCACAAGGCATCGTCGTGCTGCAAGCACGGGACAACAACACTCACATCTCATTTAACGACGTGCTCTACGTTCCGAATCTCCGCTTCAATCTGCTCTCGGCCGGACAACTTCGGGACTGCGGCGTCATCCTCACCACGGACCTCGCCACACGCGATCTCATCCTCACATACGCTCCGCCAGATACCCCTCCCGAATCATTCAAGTATCTCGGACGAGCCCGCTCGATCAACGGGATCTATGTCCTGGACTTCGACGTACCACCTTGCCAAGCTTCATCCGACGAGCTCGTGGACCTCGTTCCCCTCGAGTTTGCTTTCACAAGCAAATGGGAGCACCCAGATGGACGACCATGGGTTCGCCGCAGTCCTCATCCCCGCGAGATCAATCTGCACGACCCCGACATCAACGGTCTCTGCACCACCTGCCACACGCCCACCGCGAGTCGCACGGAGCAAGTCGAAAGGGAGCAAGCGGCAATTCAGGAGGCGGAAAGCGCTGAGGTAGAACCAACAGGCATGACTGAAGAAGAACTCGCCGTGTCATCACACCGCATCTTCGGTGAGCCGAGCAAGAAATTCGGACAGGAACGGGAGGAGAGACCAAGGCCTTACTCGGACACCCTACGGTTCGTCCTCGAAGCCAACGCGCGCACCCTCGACGAAGAAGAACGACCGCGCCCGTACACTCGCGAAGTCTATCGCCACGAAATTGACCCGGCTTGGAAAGATCCTGACGCACCTGAGGAGCTCAGCGTCAAGGAAGAACAAGATAAGGCCCGTGCGGAAAAGAAACAGAAATTGTTTGAGGAACGAGTCGCGGCTGGATGGGACGAAGAGACAGCACGACGTGGCGCATGGGGAGATGAAGATTACGAACCAGAAGAAGGTGACGGAGCAACCTGGGGATCCGCCACTGGAGCATGGGGAGCCAGTGCCAGCGGCACGGTCAACACGGAAGGATGGGGAAACACCGGCGGATGGGGAGGAAATGAATACGTGGATGCGCCAATCACAAAGGAAGAAGAAGAAGAAATGGAACGCGAGATGCAAGCTGAGCGTGGAGAACCATCCCCTCGCATCGCCATTCCACTCGGACGTCCTCCGCGCACCCGCTCACCTCCTTCCTCGCCCCCTCGATGGCGTGATCGTTGGTCGGAGATTGAGGAGGGGAATATACCACCGACTCCTCTGCGGGACTCACTTGGTCCAATCTCTCGCCCAGATCCGTTCGCTCGCTTCATCGAAGGCACCACGACCCCGCTCACTATCATCCCCGACCGTGAATTCCTCGCGCTCTATCTCACAACGGCACCTGCTGAAGGGGAGGCAAGGGCAGAAGCAGAAGCAGAGGAGCCGGCCAGCGAAGCAGAAATAGGAGAAGAGGAAGAACCCCCACTCCAGATCCCGCAACTCACGGCGGACGAAGAAGCAGAACATCACACCCGCTACAAGCGCACTTCCGGCATCCGCGCCGAAGATGATCTCTGGCACCAGCGGATGGGACACCCCTCGCGCCAGACCCTCGCCAACTGCCTCCGCGCCAAAGTCTTTCCGCCAGGAGCACTGCTGCGCCCCGACGGAACGGAGTTACAGCACACCACCCCCCACCCAACCACCTGCACTCTCTGTCCCACAGCTGCGCTCTCTCACAGCGCCTATCCCTCCCTGGAGCCGAGTACCAACAGCTGGAGAAAGTTTACAGCGATTTCATCGTACTCACCCACGACGGCATCAACGGCGAGAAGTATACTCTCACCTTCATCGATGCCTACTCACGCCACGTGTGGATCGCCAACATTGACGCCCGTTCCAAGGCTCCGGAGGTGTTACGCATCTTCCTCGCGCACGCGCAGCAACAGTCGGGGAGAAAACTGAAAATCTGGCAGAGTGATGGGGCAAAGGAATTTCGCAGCAATGAGCTGGAGAGTGTTCTTACCGAGAAGGGGATTAAACACGAGATTTCTCTCCCCTATGCTCACCAGCAGCAAGGAGTCGCCGAGAGGGTCAATCGTACGCTCATGACCAAAGTCCGCGCCATCATGAACCAGTCCGGCCTGCCAAAGAAGTTCTGGCCTTACGCCATGAACCACGCTGTGCGCCTGCACAACCTCCTCTCCACCACCGCCAACAGGGATAACCTGTCCCCTCACATGAAGTGGACCGGCTCAAGGGGAGACCCCTCCATGCTGAGGGTTTGGGGGTGCATGGTGCAATACCGGCCGACCTCGGCCACAATCGGCAAGTTCGTTCATCGCGCGCGCTGGGGTATTCACTTGGGCCTCAGCAATGAGCACAAGGGTTGGCTCATCCTCGACATGGACAGCAAGGAGATTGTCCCCGCACGCGATATTCTTTTCTACGAGCGACTCACCCTGAAGCAGTGGATCGAGGACGAGCGCCACAACGAAGCACGCGGCTACGTCAACCACGGTCGCAGCTTCGCGACTCCGGAAGATGCAGAAGCTGCAGCAGCACTGGACCGCGACGACACCGACGAACATCCTAGCATCCCACCTCGCCCGCGCGACGACGACGACGATGACAGCGGTGACGACCCCGCGCCAGGACCATCACGGCGCCAAGCAGAGCCAAGCACCACGGCACCCGGCTATGAGAGCGGAGGCGACGACGTGGTGGAAGTCCCCACCACCA